CTCAGGAGTCCGTTACCATCGAGGACAGGACAAGTCATCTCAGTCTGATATGTTGTGCTCTGGGCACATCCATTGATGACTTGTTTGGCTTTCAACCGATTGTCAGGTGCGTGGCCTTTCAAACATGCATGCCACCCTTTACATTCTGCGTTCTGCTTTGTAGTTTTCGCTCTGATGGTCTCGGCAATGTGGATCAGAGTGGCTGTGGCTCTGATGAGAGACTGCCATGTTGAGAACCTTTCAAATCGCTGAGAGCCCAGGTTTGTGTTGGTGCATGCCGTGAGGTGAGATCGAATTTCTGCGTCAGACTCTGGGTCTACGAGGTTGTAAGATGTTTCCACTGGAGTGTCTTTCGCAGGTAGCAACAGAAACTTGGGCCCAGTGAGGCCGGTGGTGTTTGGGAGCAGTGCTGCAGGTACAGACCTGGTTGCTATATATGCTGGGGGGTACGTAGTGCGATTGTTAAGGGCTCGAGAACTTCCTGATGCGTTCCACTCTGTTACTGGCATACACATAGAAGCTAACATTGTGAATGTTACCCAGCGTGACCTTCCTGTCAGTGTAAAAATTCTCCGGACACCCGCTCTGTGATCTCGACTGCTATGACTGCAGCTCCTAGTTCGAGCCGGATGGATTGAGATGGTGCCAGTCTGGCCTTCCCCATAATGACTCCTACGTGGCACATGCCTCTGTCATCTAACACCTTCAGGTAGGACACTGCAGCAATAGCTTTCACAGAAGCATCTGAAAAGACGTGCAGCTCCACAAGCTGAGTGTTAGAGACAGATGTTCCAGTATAGCAACAAGGAGTCTCAAAGTGTCCGAGAGCTTGTAGTGAATCTCTCCAAGCGATCCCCTAGCTATGGAACATTTACTTAACGTCCGCAGTGACAGCAATCTGTTCGTGGCGGAAACGTATCAGAACCTCAAGACATCCGTTGTTAGAGTCGAACACAACTCTGATTTGACCTGGCTTGTGGGGGTGATTCACTCCGAATTGGAACAAATATGCCCCTCTTTCACGTTCAACCTACATGCACAAAATTTTCTGGGGACATGTATCGTATCAAGACGCACAAAAAAGCCTCAAGAACCCATAGCCTAAAGTCAACAGGAAGTCCATTTTGAATTTTACGGCCATTTTTGGATAATTTACACACTTCGTACTCCTCCTAGGGATTTAGTCGGATCGACGTCAAATTTCTGCTGTGCCTTCTAAAGGCATTGACGATGAAAAGTTGAGTATTCGTCAATGGGCGTGTCTGTGGCGTCGATGATTCGCCATGAAACAGGAAGTTGTTGTAACTTCAGTGTACATGCTCACATCTGGACCAAAGTGTACATGTAGGATGAGAGTCCCGCCCTGAACACATGTACATGCCGACATTCACCCACAGTCATAGCGCCACCTGCTGGCAACAGGAAGTGACTTTTAACGAAGCAGCCCCCGCTGCACGTTTCACCTACGTGCACGAATTTTCTGTGGTACGTGTATCTTGTCCAGACGCTCAAAAAAGTCTCTTGGAGCCATAGCCTAAACCCAACAGGAAGTCGGCCATTTTGAATTTTACGTCAAATTTTGGATGATTTACACACTTCGTACTTTAACGAACTCCTCCTAGGGATTTAGTCCGACCTCAAATTTGTGCTGTGCCTTCTAAAGGCATTGAAGATGAAAAGTTGTGCTATTTGCGAGTTTTCGTCAATGGGCGTGTCCGTGGTGTGGCGTCAAAGATCAACTCTTCGCCATGACACAGAAAGTTGTCGTAACTTCAGTGTACATGCTCACATCTGGACCAAAGTGTACATGTAGGATGAGAGTCCCGCCCTGAACACATGTACATGCTGACAAATTTTCTGTGGTACGTGTATCTTGTCCAGACGCTCAAAAAAGTCTCTCTGAGCGATGCCCTAAAACCAACAGGAAGTCGGCCATTTTGAATTTTACGTCAAATTTTGGATGATTTACACACTCCGTACTTTAACGAACTCCTCCTAGGGATTTAGGCCGACCGACTTCAAATTTGTGCTGTGCCTTCTAAAGGCATTGAAGATGAAAAGTTGTGCTATCTGTGAGTTTTCGTCAATGGGCGTGTCCGTGGCGTCAAAGATCAACTCTTCGCCACGACACAGGAAGTTGTTGTAACTTCAGTGTACATGCTAACATCTGAACCAAACTTTACGTGCTTGATAACTCTCCGACCCCCAGACATCTACACGCCAATACCGATTTATATTCATAGCGGCAAGTGCTATGTAGCTCCACATAGGGGACACAGGAAGTGACATATAACACCTTCATGCGGCGTCGGAACCGCGTAGCAAACTCACAGCCGCACCGGCAGAGCTCCAGAATATGCAAATCGGCCGGCTCACACCCGGACGCGCTACAAGTGCGAGGGCCCGCCCAACGCTATTTTATTTTGTTATTTTTTAACACACACACACACACACACACACACACACACACGCTTACTGTTTTATTTATTTATTTAATTTAATTACTTGTTTAATGAAATGTATGGGGTTGATTGTTCTTATGTTGTATGTATGATACTTTGGCAATATTGTTGTTACATTCATGCCAATAAATCTAATTTGAATTGAAACAGAGAGAGAGAGAGAACGCGCACGCATCGGAAACTCCAAAGTCTCATCTTCTGACCTGATAGCCTACTTAGATTTTTTTTCCCAATAAATATATTTGTTTGACAGGGAATCTGTTGAAAACAGGAATAAACATACTGTATATTCATTTATTAAAAAACAATAACAAGCATCCCAGAAAAAAGTGTCTATGTGTGCACGTGCCTGCTAATAGGCGGACCGCGGTCTGGATCCATACCTAGCCGCCGTCCTCTCCGGACAGCCAACCTATAGCCAATTTATTATTGAGACCTACCTGCCTCGTGACGGAGCATTTCTACTTTAACCCGCACAGCTTTTCTAGCATTTACTGTACTTTTAATCAAGAATGTACAGATGTACATTCTTCCCACAGGCAGTTACAAAACCAGTTTATCATAAAATTGGACTTCCAACACTTCAAGCTACACTTTATTTCATTATTTCAAAAAAATTAGGCACTTTACATAGTTTAAAATATATTATTAGAATAGTTAGTATTTATTATCCCTCCGGTTTGATATGAAACTGAATATTGTTGAAATATTGTCAGTTGTTGACTAAAAACATACAGTATATGTTGATACAACTATACGTTATGGGCATTCTGGCACGTAGCGTTTATTGAGGCACACATCACCACATAGCTAAAGACTGTTGATTAACTTGACGGAAAGTAGCACTAGATGGCTTAAATGACAAAGGAGCTTAAAGTTGGTTATCAAAGTGCACTTGTACGTCCATTTATTGAAGACACAGCACACAATGTGGACAAGTTGTTGAAGTGTGAAACTGTAAATAATGCAAAAGTGACTATGAAATATGATCAAAAAGTGGTGGGGCATCGAGTACAGGAGACAGGCAGGATGTCCTAAACCAATGAGCATTAACATTAAACATTAAGTTACTGAAACAGCTGGACGATGTTCTGTGGCTGCAGTAACGACCTCACATCAGCACATACAGATATTTGTTCTTCTTTTTTTATTTGATTAAATAAAAGTTAAACGTTAACAAATGTAGTGGAATGATGATAGAAAGTGAAAGACAGCAGTTTGTGATTTGATATGATTGTGGGTAAATTATAGGTACACTGTGTTTGTGTGAACTTCACCTCACAGCTTTAGTGATGTCACTGAACAATGTTAGGTAGATATTAAAAACCTGCTCCCTTTAATAACCTGATCTCTCAAACAGGTTTCACTCTGAAGAATGGAAGGGCTCAACATTACCAGCAGCTCACAGAACCAAAGCTACGATTACAGCAACACCACCTCCAAATACCACATTGACCCTGTACGTGTGGTGACATGCATAATCGTTGCTGTCGGCCTTCCTCTGACCATGGTGGCCATCTATTCTCTTTATTCTATGGTATGTACATTCTGACATTCTGAGAGTTATGGGTCCAAGGCCGAATGGGGCTGGGAACCCGCGAATGCAAGGCATTGCGGTTCCCAGTACCAGCGGAGCTGGGAACCCTATTGTAATCGCTCAGATTTTTATTACTTTCATTCTTCTGTGAATTTTTGCCTAATTCCACTACTGCAGCCCAGACGGTAAGGGCTAGGGATGCGAAACTCACAGGGTAGGTTCAGGCCCATGAGACAACGGCATGCGAAAAAATTCGCCGACTTCAACCACTAGGGGGCGCTACAAGCAAGGTCCAAAGTTTGGCACATTCAAATCGCTTTAACTCCCGCATAGAGTGGCGGATATCAAAAATATATCCACGCGTTTGAAGGATCGAGCTGAATCTCGTGGTAAATGCCACGCCCATTTCTGACTAGACTTTTTTTTTTGACTACATGGCGAAAACTGAAAACCCTATTTTAATTAATTAACGCTTCATATCTGTGGCTGAAAAACTGCTGCAGAAGCTGCAGGAAATCTGGCCCTTAGTCTTGTTCCTGCAGTGATTGGCCAGTGGGTCATATCTGAGATTTCTGTTGGATGAAAAAGTCAGAAATGGCTCTGACTGCAGCTGCTGGGCAGAGCAAGATGACAGATTTGGGAGGAGGTGGACTTCACAACATGTTTCCAACTGCTTGTTGACTTTTACCAATGTTTTCCTGCAGGTGAGAAGAGATCATGTTGCTCCCATCTACGTCATCAACCTTCTCATTAGTGACCTGATTCAGTTCTGCTGCATGATCGTTCAGGTGGCATCAGATGTGTATGGAAAGATATTTCACATCTTCTTATTAATTTACGTCACTTCTCTGATTGCCAGTGTTTACTTCATGGTCTGCATCTCCCTGGAAAGGTATCTGTCTGTCTATCCAGTATGTGTGGAGCTCCTTCTGTGTCTGAACATTATATTAGTTTATAACTCTGAAGCTCCTCAAAGACTTTGTGTCCATCTTGTATTACAGGTATTTGGTCATCGCCCACCCACTGTGGTACCGCTTCAGACGAACCATCAAGACCTTTGTGGTGGTCTGTGTCCTGGTCTGGGTCCTTCCACTTCTCTTTTTGTTAATTTGTTGGCTTTATGGTGTGACTCTACACATATTCTTCACTGTCCTCCTCGTCCTCTTCCTCATTCCCTTCCCTCTGTTAATATTCTCCCTGGTTGGGACCCTCAAAGCCCTGTCTGCTTCCATCTCGGTCCCCTCTGATGAAAAACGACGAATTGTGGGGATTTTGGTTCTGGTGCTGCTTATTTACACTCTGCTGTTCCTGCCCAGCATCATTTTGTTATTGGGAGGATATCACTGGACCCTAGAACTCCTGTATCTCATCTTTGTTAAGTTGAGTCCTCTTGCAGACTTGGTCCTGTATGTGTTCATGAGGAAAGGGTTCATAGACAAGCTTTTGGCCTCTGTGTGTTGCTGCAGAATGGACAGCAATGATATCAGCAGTTCATCAGTATGAATGATGACAACATTTCCACAGTCAGCTTCATGTAGGCAGAGAAAGAGGGAGAGAGAGAAAGGGGAGGAAACAGGAGGAGAAATGGAGGCCAATAGAAAGGATAGAGACGAGACAGATCCTGTCATCTACTGAGACCATTTCCAATAAGACACCTAACTGTAGAGAACAGGAAGCACTGTTTGGACTCTGCTGTGGGAGAAGTGGCTGCTGGGAAATGTTTTGGTCAACTTGCTCTGGTTCACTGTGACGGCTTCAACACATGGAAATAAAATGTGTTTTATTAGTTTGGAGCTGGAAGTTGATGTCTGTCATTATTCTCCTTTAATCCCAGAAGCAAAGCAGATATTATTTTAGATGAACTGTGCTCATTCTAGCCGCCTCGCTGTCTTCTTCCTAAATCTTTATTTGGACTGTTGTTTGGATGTTTAACACAGGGAGAGCATCTCAACACGTCTTTAGCACTTTGTACTTTTTAAGTGTAATTTCTGCTGTTTTAGTGGTAGGCATGCTGCTGTTTAGGATGGGATTCAGAGCAGCTGTTTTGCAGCAGCTGTTGTGTTTTTGGCAATCTGGAGAAAATCTTAAACCACAGTTTATGTCAGTTTCTATGAAATTGTACATTTTCTGGAAATCCAATAAAAATCAGTTTGTAGACCAAACTGTGAATGTTTGTCTTTGAGCAACTCAGTGAATTAAAAGCTGACAAATGAAGGTTCAACAAAATCTCTGCTGGTTGACAAATCTCTATTGTCTATATGAACATAAAGCCCAACCTGCTGTTACCAGGGAGGCATCCTGCACTTTCTGACCAAATGACCATAATATTTCTGTCTTTGGCCCATTGGAACTTGTCAGGACCAAACGTCTTTAATCCGTGTTAATAAGTCTTTGGGCTGAGAGTGCGGTCAGTACCACAAACACTATCTTTATTTCTCAAAACACAATAATCTTACTGCAGTAGTTCAGAGAGAATATTACAGATGAAATCAACAAGACATTCCTCCACTTTGACTGAGCCTGTGGGACTTTCAGCAGGACATCAGTGAGCTGTTTTACTGCTCGGACTGCTGCTATATTTCCTGTAAACCACCAGATGGCAGTGTGCCGGCTGAGTTCACTGCCCACAAGCTGCATGAAGCTCTGCTCAGCCCACACTGGTTCTGATGGTCCAGGTCAGTCTGCTTTAGCTAGTTACTATAAAACAAAGAAGAAAAAGGCCCATAAACAGCTGTAGAACCTGGAGACAATAGTACCTAATTATCTAAAGTGCAGACTGTAAATAAGAGTAAGAAGTCTGTGTGATGGACAGTGATAACAGCCAATAAGATGCTCTGATCTGATGTGATGTGATAGGTTGGTCTCAATAACGTTTGTCTTCCTGATAGGACTGACCCCGAATTGTCGGAAATTTGATGCTTTGATGGGCGGAGCCTGATTCGACTAAATCTCACAGTGGAAGCTTCGCAGCGAAACAAGCATCACGCCATTTTGGCGATATGGGGGTGATTTAACACAGAACTACCAGGTTTCTCCCAATAAGTTAATATACAGCCTGTTACAATAAACATTTCAACGTTTAATGCTGTAAAAAGAATAAAACTTTTAATAAATGTTTTTAAATGTGTGAATAAATCCTAAACTGTAACCCTAACCCTGGCTCATCAGTGCACACGTGTAGGCGTAGCCTGAATATGTGTAGTTGAACATTTTAAAACCCGCAGTGCGTTTCTCTATGGGGGTCTTATCCAGGAACCTCCAGCTGCCCTGAGGAGAAGAGCCTGGTGCAAACACTTCTGACCACCTGGATTCTTTCAGTTCTGCCAGCGCAGCCAGGTCGAGGACTTTAACACGTGTGATTTTGCAGCCATCAAAGTAATCTGGCCAGAAATAATTGCTAGCAACCGCCTCTGGCCCGACGGCATGCCAATGGTGGTCATAACCTCAACTTGTTTTCAGGAAAGTAAGATCAGTCCCAGTGGACATTCTAATAAGCTACCTGCTAGTGAAATCAGTGTGCACAGATGCACTCACTGTCACAAAGTTAACAAAAATGTGAGAAGTAAACCAAACTTTATGAACTTCTTAAATTAACAGGTGCAGAACTTATTCACTTTCAACGAAACAAATGAGTTAATACTCAAAGAAATATAACAAATATATTGTGCAGGAGACTTTAGCAAAGTGAAGATCACAGACATCAGTAGAGCAGAAGTAGTACTGTGCAGTACTGGCCTGCTGTTCTCTCTAAGTGTACTTCTTGTCCCTCCGTGCAGCACTGAGGAGCTGTTTCTCTCTCTGAGTGAGCTCCAGAGCACCTGTTCATTTGTTCACTTCATTTTTCAACGTGCGGGGCAGTCCAATAGACTTCTATAGAACTCAACAGCGTTGAAATTTGACGTCTTGGGTCGATCACCACACCGCAACCCGTTGTCTGCCTTGTGGGTCGAGACAACAATAAATAAAAATAAAAAGGAATACGCTACCAAAAATTATCTATGCCAGGGCGATTCAAATGCCCCCCCAACTGGTGTTTGATGTTTAATAACCCTCGCAATCTGATATCAAAGGGCCCTCAAAAGCTAAGCGCGTTCATCAGCGGTGAGTTTAACAACGCACATGGTGTGCAACCACATTCAGTGGTGAGTTTAACAACACTCAACTGCAGGTAAAACGTAATTAAAAGGTGAGTTTAACGCTCCAATGCGCGTGCAAGTGTGCAGTTTTAAAGCGTTTTCTTATCATAGGTAAAACACTAGAGCATGCTGGATAACGTATTTGTATCGGAGGTTTGTTGATTTTAATATGCTACCATTGTGTTCAATTAATCATTTTTTAAAATTATTATTTTTAATAAATCCTCTAAATTAATAACGCTGACGTCACGGGCGATCCCAAGGTCCATTGCGATTTTCCACTGGGTAAGTAGAAGGGTTCATTAATAGAGATGGATCCTCTTCTTACATTTACACATCAAAAACGGTTGGATCAGGACAAGAAATTGTGTTTAGAAACTTTAGATTTGTAAGGTGGCCCTTTCTTATGACGAGAAATGATAGAAGACATTATAAAAAATATAGCTTGAACTGCACCAAATGTGCAAGCTAGCAAAGTTAGCTAAGTTAATTGAATTCAAGTTCATTTTTGTCGCATATTATCATGTAAGGTACAATCATAGGGGAATGTAAGATTTTCAGATTTTTATTACATAGCCCTCAACTATCCTGTAGAAACTCATGGCATAGAGACTGATATAAGTGCATGGTTATTGTTGCAGTGACACTAAACACTAAACAGTTAACCTTAAAGTTAGCTGCTCAATCATTCTCATTGTTTTGGTAGAAAGCAATTATGCCAATAAGTTATGTTGTGTTTGTTTACACTGTCTTAAGTGCACTCTAGAAAGTGTGTGTGTGTGTGTGTGTGTGTGTGTGTGTGTGTGTGGTGTAGATGTCTCGAAAGAAGTTCAGGCCTTGCCCCTCCTGCCAAGCACCTAACCAGGTGACGGAAAGTCAAATAGAGCATTATGTCCAGTATTCAAATATGTGGTTTTAAATGTTATACATTTCTCATTATTAGGTCAATTGGACACTAAAGTATACTCCTACTAAACGACCCTGTATGATAAGTGTTCTGTGTTACAAAACAGTGATAATTTAAGGCATCTGGTTGATATCAATTTTGATTGCTTGTTTTGCACCAAATGCCATAGGCAACATTGATTTAGCCTGGGTGTCTCCTACATCTGCCACTTTCACTGTGTGATAATAATAATAATAATCCTGTGTCAATCTAGAGATGCATATTCTGAATTGCATTGTGCTTTGTGTGTTCCTCTCTTTCCTGTATACAGCCAAATTAAACTGTATATTGATTCTACTTCTTCTCTGTGACTGTGGATCTGATGTCTCACTTTGGTATACTTTTACTAACACAGGTGAGCCGCAAAACCTGCAGCTCTTGTTTCGCAGCCATCTCCCAAAAAAAGAAAGTAGCGGCCAAAAAAGTGACCCTGGACAGGAAGTGGGGGGAAAGGGTCCTAAAAACAGAAATGCAGGAAGAGTGGTGACTCTGCCCATATTGCAGTAAGTAGAAATGCTCATATTTCATTAAGCAATATGATTTGTTTCACTTTCATTAATATTTTGTGATAGGGCAAGGGCCTCATTTTACAAAAATAAGTTGAATTTGTCAGTGAATGAATTTGAGGTTGTCATAGATGGCATTGGTGTAACATATTATTTTAATTAATTTGTAATTTGCTTGACATGCATAGAATAGACTTTCTTTTTGACCAGGCGCTCATGTACATTTGTTTACATGTACTACCGGCTACATTGCAAATATAACCTTGCTTTAGTACCACACAGGTACTTCAGTATGCGTGTTACTGAAGTTTCTGTCTCTGCTAAAGGCAGATCACAGAATTCAGATCCAGAGTCACTATTAAAGACAGTCTTGCATGATTATGTAAGTAGATAACATGTTCTTACCTTGCACTACCACCCCTAGCATGTGAATATTGCATCGCACACTTATAGTGCCTTGCGCTGTGTTCATTTTAGAGAAGGTGCATGATGATGTGACAAAAATAACTCAGGACATGTGTGAAAGCCATGCTGTGTGCAACATATGTGTTGTTAAAAGCAAGGCCATATTCCAGGTGTCCTATTTCAAAGACACAACTTAAAAAAGTATTTGAATTACTACAGGGGAGATTAATGTCGGGTTAAAAGTGGAAAGGATTCGACTATACCTACTGGACCAGGTTCTGTAGTGCAGCTGGCTATTTTATGTCCGTTGGTGGCATTCCCAAATGAGTGTTTCTGTTAGTCCCCCAATCTACATTTGCCGTGGGCAGAGACAGGTAGACCGACCAAGGGGGGGAGGAGGAGAGTGTTTGGATCAGGTGGATAGGTGGCCATAAAGAGTTAGTCCAGTCAAAATGTATTTATATCATATTTTGTTTTGTGTGTGTCCAATCAATATAATTATTTTTGAAGGGTGTCAGGACTTTTTGTGTTCCCTTTAGAATCCCAGATTGCTAACTATTTGACCACCAGCATCCAGCACAACATTAGATGAATATTGGTTGTATAGAGCAGGGGTTCTCAAACTGTTTGTGCCAAGGACCCTTTGTGTGGGAGAAGAATTTCCAAGGACCCCCTCATAATCAAAACAATTAAGCATATGCTTGCTACCATTTGTATACTTTGATGCCATTTTTATTCTCTTGGTGTGTACTTACTTGGTCTTTAGTCAACTTTGGATTTTGAATCACTTAATGATGTGGACTGACTCAAACATTTATCCATGTTCATCAGCTATCTTAATGGCAAATAAGCCAAGCTAAGCAGCAGGAAGAATGGTTCATCATGACCTGAGTGAAGTGATTCACAACAGATTGACTTGATTAATCATAATCACAAAAAAAGTTCAATGTTAATGTTTTAATTTATTAATACATTCATAATCAAGAGTTTATATGTAGATTCTAGATCATTACATCGTCATTGATAAGCATTTCTTAACGATTAAGCACAACTTTCTCATTCGAAACAAATCCACTTTGAGAACCACTGGTATAGAGTACATATTTCACGAGTTCACACTTACATCAATTTAACAGAGTAAAGATTATGAGTATTTGGCGTGCGGTCCGGGGGGTCTCCGAGCTCAGGATTTTTGCCTGAACCCAGAGTACTTCCCCCATTGTTATAAAAGTATTTAGGGCTAGAAGTGAGGAGATGGGGTGGTGGAGGGATGCTGTCAAACTGTCAACGGACAGAGGTAAGCTTGTTGTTATATATACACCTCTTAACTCGTTGATTGGATTGATTAGCAGAGTTTGCTCCACTCGTGTCTAATTGGGTTTAATTATCTGAACGTGCTCCTCCCGAACATTGTTAATAAAACATCATGTAATGTTCTAAGGGGAAAAGCTGTTAAGGTTGGTCATGTAAGTTGTGTAGCCCGATATTAGAAACAGTAGCACTAATGTATTTAATGCAAATTTGTTTTCCAATTGGGTGGAAAGTAATGCAGTGGGAATAACTAATGTTTGCTGTCTGCATTTATTTATTACAGGTGAAAAAACTTAGTGCATTAGGCTATGTCCCAATTCTATTTTTCGCAAAGAAAGATAAGGCCTCTGGAAAGTGGGTGTCTGATGTGGTGACCCATCTGCTACCCACTGAGGACAACCTAAAAATTGTGGCCACCATGAGAAAGGCCTACAATTTTGTATTGATCAAAGAAGGTAGGATTTGTGTAATTTAAGTCATGCCTGTTTTTTTTATGATGGTGAAATATTGAAAATGAACATACTCATGCAATATTGTAGGGAACTCCACGACGACATTGCTCGATCCACACCCTCAGGCCCTGCTCGATCCACACCCTCAGGCCCAGCCCGATCCACACCCTCAGGCCCTGCTCGATCCACACCCTGAGGCCCTGCCCGATCCACACCCTCAGGCCCTGCTCGATCCACACCCTGAGGCCCTGCCCGATCCACACCCTCAGGCCCTGCTCGATCCACACCCTCAGGCCCTGCTCGATCCACACCCTCAGGCCCTGCTCGATCCACACCCTCAGGCCCTGCCCGATCCACACCCTCAGGCCCAGCCCGATCCACACCCTCAGGCCCTGCTCGATCCACACCCTGAGGCCCTGCCCGATCCACACCCTCAGGCCCTGCTCGATCCACACCCTGAGGCCCTGCCCGATCCACACCCTCAGGCCCTGCTCGATCCACACCCTGAGGCCCTGCCCGATCCACACCCTCAGGCCCAGCCCGATCCACACCCTCAGGCCCAGGAAAAGGAGACATTTTATATTTTAGATTTACACCCTGTCTCTCTCCCTGTGAAGGAACAACCCCCCCCCCAAAAAGAAAGTGTAAGTTAACTGTGGTCTTAGCACACTATGTATGAATTTCTCCTTTTTGTAATCATTATTCATGAAATACAGAAATCTTTAGGTGAATTTAAGTGCAGTCAATTAACGTAGTTAATGTGAGTAATTTTCAGTGGCCAGTCTGATACACAAAGGAGTTTGTCCTCGCATATATACCTTTCAGTACCGAACAAGCACACTCTAGGAGTAAAGCAATGAGCAATACACACTTGAGGAGAGATGAATACACACACACTCACGCACACATCAGTGGGCAGCCCAGGTAGCTTATCCCCCCCTATCACTGTTCACAATCTGCTTCAATAACCTTTAGGCCAGGCAGTAGGATAATTAGGCTAAATTTCGGCTATGAAATCACTGAATCTAATGGCTAAAGAGCAGTTCATTCCAGGAACTATAACGATAAAAGCGTCCAGACAGACTGACCAGCTATAAGCAAAGTCTCACCTTGTGTTAATAAATGTGATGGCTAAGATGTGATGGGTTCCTATTGGTTGTTAGCTCTTCTTTTTATTGTTCTCAAAATCGCTTTAAAAGCGATCCCCAACAATATTGTTCTCAATCTCGTTATAGTTTATCATATTAACGAGAACAATATTTTTTTATATAGTTATCGTTTTTGGTGTGAATGGCCCTTTATATATGTATTCTTCAGTTATTTAGCTGTATTTTCTGACGTTATCAAAGTTCAAGGACAATGCTTAAAGTTGTTCCCCAGGTTTTATGAAACTTTAAGTTTAACTTTAAGTTTAATTTCCAGGTTTTTTTACATTTATGGTTAATTATATTATTATTATTATTATTATTGTCATTTTAAGGTTGCCGGAAATGTAGTAGGCAAAAAGTTTTCAAATATGACTCCATAACAGGACGAAGGATAAATGAGGTAAGAAATATATTTTTCATTAGGCTGTCTGATCATCTTTCCATTGTCTGTGGCTCATCTGGCATTTCACATATCACAAAATACTGACCATTTAAGCATTGGTAATTTGAGTCCATTTAAGTTCAACTGAAGGCCAAGTGGCCTTGCCCTAAAAATTATGAAATTCAAAACCTGATTATATGTTTTTGTCTTTCTGTAGGGGCAAGAGGAAGTAAGGGTGAAATGGTTACCTTGCTCTGCATGGTAAGTACTGCTTTATATTGGTTTATATTGCCTTCATACATGTACTCTTTTTCAACTTTTTACCATCTCATAGGTAGTGGATAAAGGTTGAAATTTATATTGTAGCACACACAACTTTAAATGTACAGGTGGGTCTCAAAGTTTTGCAACCAAAAAGCAGCGTTGAGAGAATTGTCATGTCCACTAGGTTTTAGGTCCAGCGTCAATGCAGCCTTCTACCTGGAGATTTTAGAGCATGGTTCCATCTGCTGACAAGCTTTACGCACATGCTGATATCCTTTTCCAGCAGGACTCTGCCCCTGCCACAGTGCGAAAACTGCTAGTAACTGGGTTGCTTAGCATGGTATTGCTGTGCTTAACTCGTCTCACCTGAACCCCATAGAGAGGACAATGATAGAAACCAAACCCAACATTAGAGACAACTTCAAGGTCACTATCAAAGCAACATGGGCTTTTATAACACCTCAGCAATGCCATACACTGATGGCCTCCACACCACACCGATGCAGGAATTTGTGCAAAACAGCCACACCAAGTATAGAGTGTATGCATTAACAATTTTTGATAAGTCAGATTTGTTCATTTATTTTTGAAAGGTCGACATTTCTGTATTCCTCTTTATTATAATGTAGTGAGTTGATTTATTTTTTAACTTTTTAATTTTTTTTTCATGAGCTTTAATCAAGATTAAATCAACACAAATTGCTTCAAATGTTGCACAATATTGTAATTGTAGACCCATAGGGTATATACCAATATACCAATTGGTATAGGGTGGATTAAATGCAGTGTCAAATATTGTCTACAGGATTTAGCCACTTGCTCTTTTCAGTACTATGCATAATTCCCCCGGTGTAATGTCTATGTAGGAAGTAGACCTTCACCAATATATTGGCAGAACATCAGTATCGGTCAAGCTCATCCTTGTTGACTGATGTCAGCTATTGACTTTCTATGACTTTATCTATGAGAGTGGCTGATGTTTATCTGTTACATTTCATCAAGCACTATATATGTATAGGTTTTATAAAAACAATGAAATACAAGACCGTACAATATTTTTTGAAAATATTTATGCTGTGAAACTATTGTTAAAATGGCTCCTGTTTTTCACTGTTCTAATGTTATTATTTACTGATACTTACAGTGGAAAAATCTGGGAGGAGACATGGGAGCCGGCCTGCCAGTTCTCACCAGGTGCCAACCATGTGTAATGTCACACATTGGTCTGTAATTCAATGAGTTAAATACCTGCTATGAGATGTCAAGTTTGCCGTTACGGGCCCAGCCATCCTGCTTGCGGATGTGACTACTTTAGATGAGGAGGAGCCGCGTTACACACTTTCAATGGTTTCCACCCTAACATGCTGTCATGCTGTTTTTTCATTTATTTTTTAAGTATTGATTTTTGTTAAAAGCTGTGTTCAAATAAATCGATGTATACCTTTATTTCTGTTTGTCTTTCCATTCACCTTGTGGTTTAGCCAATCATCTGAAGTCTTCAATGCATCAAATGATATATTGTAATGTAATGCACAAAGTATGTAGGAAGGTGGGACATGTTTTCATTCATATTAATTGACACCATTAAGGAACCGTTGATTCCACCAGCTAAACCATACATTTTCTGTAGAAAGGGTAGCTGAGGTGGCAGGGGTGGATAATGAACAGGCTTACCAGGACCAGAGGTCAAGAGGGTCCAGAAGCCACTAAAAATTTGAAAGCATGCTTTCTAATTCAGGAAGTTTTCTAAAGGCAAGGCACATGAAACCCTGGCTGCTGCACTGTGGCCTTCCATTGACCTTGATGCACTAAATGTGTGTGTTCAAGTCTACCCCGGATGGGTAAAAGCAGAAGACTATATTTTTTTACTTTTGTTATTTCAGTCTATATGGGCCAATCTGGGTTTCTTGTTTATATTTTTAAAACTGTCAATATTCATTTAGATGTTATGGTATTTATTTATTTTAATATTTCGGTCTTATTTACGGGAAATAATACAGTATGCTGTAATACAGAACATATGATCCGAGCTAGACGCAAAGACTCCACAATGCAATGCGGGCATTCATTCACAGAATCGGTTGTCATTGGTTGTCACCAGCAACAACAAGTTGCTCAGCTTTGTACCAGCCGCAATACCAGAGAAAGGACTTGGTAATACCGATTACCGACCGAAGACTCCGGAAGTGACGTAGTATGTGCCGCTCGGCGGATAAGAAGATAAAAAATATATATTTGTGCAAAATTGACTTAATTTATTTAATATATGCTTTTTTGGAAATGTTCTAGATTTCTAAGAAATGTGTTTTTGCACTATTGTAAAACATTTCTTGAATAAAAAAGATTTAAAAAATACACAGTATTCGTAATATTGATGTTTTTGTCTAACGTTGTATTTGAGGATTTAAACAATAAAGATAACAATAATAATAAAATACAGTTTAATGTATTTGTCTCATGTATTGTGTGCTCGTCGGCCGGCGGCAATCTGCAATGGAATGAAGCCCATTCACGGCCATAGTTACACGAACATGTCCCCCCACCCCCACCCCGGAATAACTACACATAAGCACTCGCTTTGTGTGGCGCGTCTCTTATGGGAGTTGTAGTTTTAAAGTATATTGGTATATTTCTCACAATTATAAGTTTAAAATGTAAAATTTTGGATACACCCTGTGTTTTTTGGGATGGGGAACACACTGGTGTTATCAGATTTCAAAAAATTAATCGTTAAATAGGTGAGATAGCTTATTTCCATATTTGACAGTGCTTATACAGTGGGTAAACTCTGGTGACCATATCTACATGACAGCAGAGGCCCAGAGCTTTATATATAAATGCTGGTCTTATGTGTTTAGCACCTTCTGTTGCTAAATTACAAACCAAGATGGACTGGGTTCAAGGTTCAGAGGTCAATGCTCTCTGCAATGCTCTTCTGGCTGTACTTCCATCTTGTGCAACTAAACATCTACAAATGATCTGGAATGCTGCAGCTCGTCTTGTCTTCAACGAGCCCAAAAAGGGCCCACGTCACTCCTCTGTTCATCTCTCTGCACTGGCTGCCACTCTCTGCTCGCATCAAGTTCAAGGCCTTGACACTTGCTTACAGATCGACCACTGGCTCAGCTCGCTCCTACTTTCACTCGCTTCTACGAGTCTACACCCCCCCACCAGAAGCCTACGATCGATCAATGAGCGACGGCTTGTGGTACCATCACAAAGAGCCACAAAATCACTCTCTAGAACATTCTCATTCACAGTTGTCTATGAAGATTCTCAGTCATCCAGGTCATAGTTATCCAACGAGGGTTAAAATCAAGGGCAACTGGACTTGGTTGAAGATACTGGAAGACGTTTCGTCCCTCATCCAAAGGACTTCTTCAGTTCTGACTGACTGGCAGGGAAACTCAGCTATTTAACCTCAGTGGGGTCGTTGGCCCGGGTCATCGATACCGCTGGTTCGTTAGTGTTCCTTGTTGCTGTGACGACAGTCGTTACGGTCGTTAAGACTGAGGCCAAGACTGAACGACCATCGTTGGTATCTTCACCTGAGGCCAATAGGTTACGTTTGTTGAGTTTCCTGGGAAGTGATGAAAGGACAGCATTGTAAGTGGGGGATAAGTGGTGGCGTAGACCCCCTCCCCTGTTCAATGACGGCTTCTCAACCCTGGTGTAGATGCTTCCTTGACACCTCTTTCAAACCATCCATCTTCTCTGTCTAAAATGTGCACCTGGTGGTCCTCAAACGAGTGTCCTCTGTCCTTCAGATGTAAGTAGACTGCAGAGTCTTGACCTGAGGAGTTGGCCCTTCTGTGTTGAGCCATGCGTTTGTGTAGTGGTTTTTAGTCTCCCCAATATACAGGTCTGTGCATTCCTCACTGCATTGGACCGCATACACTAGATTGCTTTTCTTGTGTTTGGGTGTGCGGTCTTTGGGGTGGACCAGCATCTGTCTTAGTGTGTTCTTGGGTTTAAAAAACACAGGGATGTTGTGTTTGTTAAAAATCCTCCTGAGTTACAATGCTGTCCTTTCATCACTTCCCAGGAAACTCAACAAACGTAAATCCGGAATGCAGAATCCCTGGCAGCATTCAAAAGACAACTGAAAACTCATCTCTTCCGAAAGCAATTAACATAAAAAAATAAAATTAAAATTAAAATCCTTTAAATCCTCACTTGCATAGTTTCTTCCTGTAAACTTTTCTGCACATAGTTTTGTTCTACTATAAACAGAAGACGACTATTCAAAAAACAGTTTCTTAAATTAGTTTCAGTTTGTATAACTACATTCATTATTAGGGCCCGAGCACGACCGTGCGAGGTCCCTATTGAAATTGCTCGGATTATATTTTTTTAGGGCCCGAGCACGACCGTGTGAGGTCCCTATTGAATCTGCTCGGATTTTTTTTTTTTTTTTTTTTTTTTTTTTTTTTTTATTTTTTTTTTTCTTTTTCTGCAAAGTAGGCCCAAATGACATGGCCTAAACATACTCGAAAACTCACCAAAATTTGCAAACATGTCAGAACCGGTGAAAAATTCGTATTCTACAAGTTCGCACATGGGCGTGGCAAAATGACTCGCTAGCGCCACCTAGAAAATTGGAAAAATTAGCCCCTCGTTCACGTTCAACCTACATCTACGAAATTTTCTGGGGACATGTATCATGTCAAGACGCACAAAAAAGCCTCAAGAACCCATAGCCTAAAGTCAACAGGAAGTCGGTCATTTTGAATTTTATGGCCATTTTGGATGATTTACACACTTCGTACTTTAACGAACTCCTCCTAGGGATTTAGTCGGATCGACGTCAAATTTCTGCTGTGCCTTCTAAAGGCATTGACGATGAAAAGTTGTGCTATTTGCGAGTTTTCGTCAATGGGCGTGTCCGTGGCGTCGATGATTCGCAATGAAACAGGAAGTTGTTGTAACTTCAGTGTACATGCTCACATCTGGACCAAACTGTACATGTAGGATGAGAGTCCCGCCCTGAACACATGTACATGCCGACATTCACCCACAGTCATAGCGCCACCTGCTGGCAATAGAAAGTGACCTTTAACGAAGCAGCCCCCGCCGCACGTTTCACCTACGTGCACGAATTTTCTGTGGTACGTGTATCTTGTCCAGACGCACAAAAAAGTCTCTTGGAGCCATAGCCTAAACCCAACAGAAGTCGGCCATTTTGAATTTTACGTCAAATTTTGGATGATTTACACACTTCGTACTTTAACGAACTCCTCCTAGGGATTTAGTCCGACCGACCTCAAATTTGTGCTGTGCCTTCTAAAGGCATTGAAGATGAAAAGTTTGCTATTTGCAAGTTTTCGTCAATGGGCGTGTCCGTGGCGTGGCGTCAAAGATCAACTCTTCGCCATGACACGGAAGTTGTCGTAACTTCAGTGTACATGCTCACATCTGGACCAAACTGTACATGTAGGATGAAGTCCCGCCCTGAACACATGTACATGCTGACATTCACCCACAGTCATAGCGCCACCTGCTGGCAACAGGAAGTGACTTTTAACGAAGCAGCCCCCGCCGCACGTTTCCTACGTGCACGAATTTTCTGTGGTACGTGTATCTTGTCCAGACGCACAAAAAAGCCTCTTGGAGCGATGCCTAAACAACAGGAAGTCGGCCATTTGAATTTTACGTCAAATTTTGGATGATTTACACACTTCGTACTTTAACGAACTCCTCCTAGGGATTTAGTCCGACCGACCTCAAATTTGTGCTGTGCCTTCTAAAGGCATTGAAGATGAAAGTTGTGCTATTTGCAAGTTTTCGTCAATGGGCGTGTCCGTGGCGTGGCGTCAAAGATCAACTCTTCGCCATGACACGGAAGTTGTCGTAACTTCAGTGTACATGCTCACATCTGGACCAAACTGTACATGTAGGATGAGAGTCCCGCCCTGAACACATGTACATGCTGACATTCACAGACAGTCATAGCGCCACCTGCTGGCAACAGGAAGTGACTTTTAACGAAGCAGCCCCCGCCGCACGTTTTACCTACGTGCACGAATTTTCTGTGGTACGTGTATCTTGTCCAGACGCACAAAAAAGCCTCTTGGAGCGATGCCTAAAATCAACAGGAAGTCGGCCATTTTGAATTTTACGTCAAATTTTGGATGATTTACACACTTCGTACTTTAACGAACTCCTCCTAGGGATTTAGTCCGACCGACCTCAAATTTGTGCTGTGCCTTCTAAAGGCATTGAAGATGAAAGTTGTGCTATTTGCAAGTTTTCGTCAATGGGCGTGTCCGTGGCGTGGCGTCAAAGATCATCTCTTCGCCATGACACGGAAGTTGTCGTAACTTCAGTGTACATGCTCACATCTGGACCAAACTGTACATGTAGGATGAGAGTCCCGCCCTGAACACATGTACATGCTGACATTCACAGCAGTCATAGCGCCACCTGCTGGCAACAGGAAGTGACTTTTAAACGAAGCAGCCCCCGCCGCACGTTTTACCTACGTGCACGAATTTTCTGTGGTACGTGTATCTTGTCCAGACGCACAAAAAGCCTCTTGGCGATGCCCTAAACAACAGGAAGTCGGCCATTTTGAATTTTACGTCAAATTTTGGATGATTTACACACTTCGTACTTTAACGAACTCCTCCTAGGGATTTAGTCCGACCGACCTCAATTTGTGCTGTGCCTTCTAAAGGCATTGAAGATGAAAGTTGTGCTATTTGCGAGTTTTCGTCAATGGGTGTGTCCGTGGCGTGGCGTCAGAGATCAGTCTTCGCCATGACACAGGAGTTGTGTA